TGAATGGAACAGAGAGAGGCACGGAGATCAGATACAGACTACTGCCAGGCTGAGACGGACTCTACGAGGTACGCTCTTAAAACACACTAAAATGAGTGATTTTCAGCACATAAAATCAGCTGTTTTATGAAAAAAAAACACAAATTATGGACAAGACAGCCCACTACATGACTAATACTTAAATATATCTAACGAAATAATGTTGTGGCTGATTTGTGTATGTTTTAAATTTTAGAACAGTAATTTGGGTTTATTACGTGGAGGAGTCTGTGAGATCCTGCCTACAGTAAGAACATTAAGATAAAAGACACACGACAGGTTGGAGCCCTGTGTTTTTGTCCAGGAGACCCAGTGTTTCAGAGACAATGGTAGAAGCAGCTGGATTAATACCACCAGGCCACAGTCACAGCCACAACACATGCACTGCTGAGCCATCCCATGCCTGCCATGTCACAGCACTGCCAACATCACCACATGGGAGGGGGCGGGGGGAGAAGAAGAAAGGGGTCCACGAAGAAGTGAAGATGAGAAATCTGACGCCAAGCTATGAACATGGTTCTACAGGAGCTGAGATGGTTCTGTTCTGAACATGGACTGCCTTCACTTACAGACTACTGACACATGCACAAAAACCTACATCCACAATCACAGATATTATACGTTTTTGATCCATTTTCCACACACACTCTCACTCTCTTACAAACACACACACACACACACACAGGCACAGAGCTTACGTTCTTTACAGGCCTGTGTAGCCCAGCAGTGCAGTGCAGTAGTAAACTGTGAACTGCGAGGATCAGGGGCTCTAGAGCTCTGATCTGGGAGTTAAAAAAAAAAAAATCACAGAGACACAAAGTGGTGGCTGCTTTTGAGAGATGCTTATCGAACCAGTGTAATGTTAGATGATCAGTGCAAGAAGTCAATAAATTTCGTCCCACACATGCCTGAACATCTCCATTTGTTGCTGAAACACACTCATTACTTGGATGACCAATTTAACATGGGCCAGTAGCACCGCCTCACTCAATGTTTGGAAAATGTGTTAAAGACAGTTTAAGTTTAAACAGACGCCGGAAGGAAACACATGAACCAAAGCAACTACTGGATTTGTCCGTGTCTCACCTTTAGGTCCAGGTATTCCAAATCCTTCTTCAGCTGCATGTATGTGTCATCAACCTGGAAGGTGGGGAATATAGAAGAGCAGAGTTTTTTTTTTAATTTGTGACAATATAATTATAAACACTGTCTCCAGAAAGTCACACTCAACTCAAGACTAAAAAAAAAAAAATTCCAATAAGAGTTTTCAATAAAACGTCTATTTGAGAAATTATTGGCCACAACACCAAATGAAGTTGGAACTGGAAAACTAGAATGGAAAAAAAATGTTCAGTGTCATATTTTCTTCTTAAGTCTTAAAAAAGTTTTAAGACAAATTAAAAATTTACTTTGTACTTTGTACTTCTCAATTTAATTTAAAAAAAAAATTTATTTATTAACTGGTAAGTGAATAAAATTGAAAGTCTTTTCTCAGTCCTTAGCCCAACAACACATTTATCACATTACCAAATGACATTTTCTTTGTTTGTTTTCACTGGATTTTTGGAAGTACAAAGGTTTTTTTTGGAAAAGAGAAAATGATTTAAATCCACATTTAATCTCATCACACTCAGTCGATGAATGTGTGCATTCGTATCAGTGCGGGCGACACATGCCTGCGCTAACATGCATCACGTCACGTACAGACATCGTAAGCATTTGTCTGTTTTGAGAGATGCTCAGGCTCTCTCGTGCTGCAACAAACAGGAAACAGACACAAGGCAGAGGTATTTCAGCAGCATCGGCCAAAATACGTCTTATTCCAGATGTGGTTTGAGTTTTCTTTTCACATCACTCCTATGAAGCAGGACCACACAAAAAGCACGGCCAAAAATGAGAGGAATCAGACAACAACGCTGACTCATCCACGGCCACAGCCTGACACGTAGAAAATTAGCATGGGATGTTATGCTAACATGAAATCATCAAAGCTCAACATGCTGTGGACGGTATCACTAGAAGCCTATCAACTAGAGAAGCAGCACAAACACAAGGGTTGATGGTTTGATGACAGCAGCCAGAGCAGCTCACAGGAACAAAGCCAGGAAGCTTCTGGTGAGAGGTTGCCACTAAAATGATTGACTAAATGTTGTATCTAACTGTTGACTTTACATCTACATGTGGTTATTGTGTTTGTTCCTAAGAAAATGTGTGTGGTTATTGTGTATGTTCCTAAGAAAATGTGTAAAAGACTGAAACAACTGGGACACAGAATCCTATTGATGGAGTGGAAGATCTCAAGACAGGAATGAGGATACTGCCTGAAATTCACTGCGCCTCAAAAGTACTTGAATGTGGTGCAGAACAAATAAGTGGTAAGTTGTGCAGTCAGAATGAAAGATGGGTTCACTTTGCAAAGTTGAGGCAGTTAAGACTGGACAGAAGTCTGTATTGTCCATGGTCTTTGCAGTGATGTTGTCAAAGTTTGACAGGACAGGAAGTTTGGAAAAATTGTCACCATCTTCAAAACAAGGCAGCAAGTCAGAAATACGGAGTTTGGAGTTTGAAGATACATTGATGAAGGCAAACGTGTGATGGTTCAAACATCTGAGGAGAGACAGTGGATATACTAGACAAAGGAAGGAGGAGAAATAGCTTCCAGGTAAAAAGAATACTGGATGGTGGAGGAGAAGACTCCCAAAAGGGAATAACACCAAAAGACAAGAAAAGTGTGAGACTGAAGGAGTTGATCGACCAAGGCTAGATCTGAAGAGGGCAGTCAAGACAGGAGGGCGATGGTTCGTTTGTCATGTGAACATTTCTGAGCAAAAGCAAAAGTGACATTTTTATTTGCACTCAGGAAACATGTTTATGTTACTATTATACGGAATGTATTCTCAGGCAGTGAGATGTGACTTGAGTCAGTGTTAGACAGACAGAGAAGCAGACATCACTGTAGCCTTGACTGTCCTATAATATGATAACATGTCTCCACGAAGGAAATGTCACTTCTGCAAAGTCATTATTTCAGCAGGGACAGAGCAATCACAAGTGATTTAGTGCAGGCCCATCGTCTCTGGTGTGAGGGTGAATTCTGTCAAATACATCTGTTATCATTGGGCAGAAACAAAAAAGAAGAAGAAATCTGTTTCTGTTTCTTGTTTACTAGTCATATCTGGTGCTGAATCATTAAAAGTTCCTTAAATGTTATGCAACTGGTGAAATGGCAACCCCTTAAAATGGTAAAAATGAGGGTGAGGCAGGCAGGCATGCCACAGGGAGGCGCACCTTGGGAGAGGACAGGTCCAAATGTCTGAAGTTAGACAAAGGAGAGGGGCCGGAGCTGAGGAGGGGGCTGGTGACAGTGGTAGCAAGGAAGTGGTTATGGTAGTAGGGCTCTTTGGGACCGTTGTGCCGCTGGAGCTGGGAGAATGTTTGGTGGCGGGCGGAGGCCATCTTGGCCTGATGCCGGCGCAGCTGAATAAGGAGCAAAGTGAGCTCCTCAGGCTGTCAGGTACCATAAATTAAGACATCACATCTGGCAATTATTAATACTGACCACAACAAGCTCCAGTCTCAGTCAGACTGCAGAGTGAAATGTCTTACAGCAAATTTGTGAGCAGAATGTCGACAAAAAAACAAAAACTTAAAACGGTGTATAAATCAAAACAGATTTACTGGTTAATATTTACTGTATTACGTGAAAATAAAGCCACAGTGTCAAACGTATCTACATTTATATAAAATCAACAGTGAGTGTTGGCTTTGTTTCCATGAAATACAGAAGAAGAAAAACACGTTAATAATTCAGCAGCATAAAACAAAACAGCCCTGATTCCTATTATGCTAAGAATATCAACAGTTGCCTTCCAAACAAACTACATCTGCATCGAGGTCAAACCAATGTCAACTGCAAAGTGAGACAGTAAACATTTAAATTTCTAATTCAGTTTAAATTATAAGAGTAAACGTTGTGTTTATCCTACCGTTTTTCCGTGAAGACTGGGTGCACTGACTGTGTGGGTCATGTAGCCAGTGGTTGGCATCGACCGCCGGTCAATATTAGTGGTCTGAAAATGCACAGATAATATGTTTCAGTGAAAAAGTTTGATTATTGAATGATACAGAATCAAATTAATTTTTTTCCAAAGTTGCTGATGAAGTTTGAGGTTGAAGTGAACTGTATAAAAGGTTAAGTTTAAACTAATGCAATAACACTGGGATTATAGCGACCTCTGCAGAGAAAAAAGGGTGCTACATGGACTGTGTACAACATCACTAAACTAAACATTGTTGGAAACTTAACCTTTAATTTATTTTATATAGAAAATAGTTAACTTTCCATTTATGTATATTAACTTGACCTAATTAGACATGTAAATATTGTGTAAATACATCCATAATACACATGTATAGTTCAGTTTAGCTATGGCTTACAGTGTCTTTTTAATAACTGCAGTGAAAATCAAAGTAACAGAACAGATCAGACACTTTTAGGTTATTGCTACTGTAACCCAGGGCAACAAGGCAATTATTCAGTTCAGTGGAGCAAGTTTTAGCTGCCACCCCATACTGTCAGAATGACTGACATTGTTCTGCATTTAAAAACAATTGTTGATGTTTTGCATTTAATAGTGGAAGAAAATGTCTAACAGTTTCAACTCAAACGATTTAGCAAAGAAATAATACCATCAACACACGACATAACCAGTAAAATCAAACCCAGGAGACTTTGCTAGCTTTCAAAAAAAGTCTTTCCGAATCTTAAGAATACTTCTGCACAATATGAACAAACAAACATCCAACTGGATCCAGTCTAGTGGAACTGCTGTTATGAGACATGTTTTACCTTGAACAGTTGAGATTTGGTCCTCCGGGGACACACAGTGAAGGGAACGTCAACCACCGATCTGTCACCCACAGGCTTGACTGTCACCCGCTCCGCTGGTGTATGTGGTCTCTTTGTGGGTGACAGAGTTCGGCTGTAGCCCAGTGGAGGCCCCGGTGGAGGGTTGTCTTCAGGTGTCGGTGGTACTGACACACAGCGAGGAGATCCTTCAGTCCTAGCGGCCGAGGACGTAGGCACAGTGGACGTCGGACGTGAGCCGAACGGGTACTCTGGGGCTGGGGTGTAGAGCGGAGCTGTGGGGCTGCCGTGGCGGAACTGGTGGCGCTGTTGCCACTCATACAGCTGCCAGACGGTGTTAGTCCCCGGAGCACCCTGTTCTGGGGTCAGGCGGAAGTGGTTCAGACGGTCCTGGGCGTACTTGTACTCACCGTGTCGGGCAGCACTGGGGGTCTTTGGAAGGGTTTGGTACACATCTGCAGATGTGAACTTGTGTTGGGTTGGTGGTGTTCGACGTGGGAGGGTGTTCTCTCTGGAGGGGGGGCTAAAAAAAAGATGAGTTTTAAACTTTGGCTGCCACAATCCAGCGATGGTGGCAGTTACAGGAAGACTTGAGAATATGTTCCCATCGTGAACAGGAAACCTTCCCCGTACTCACCCTTTTTGTTCTGCCTTCTGCACTTTGACCCACTGCTCCACTTGCTCCAGACTACCGCCCCTCTTCACCTGCTTGTGCATGTCAAGAGTGGATGAAGACGGAACCCTCTGGTACGTTCCCGTCGCGATGCCGTTGGGCTCCATTTTTGGACTCGGTGTTTCTACAAGACCGTTCCGGGTACAGAGACCCAGTGGTAGAGTTGAGGCAGATCTGGATGGTGCTCGTGAAGGGGCCCTCGATGTGGGTGCAGAGGCCGATGTGTGGTCTGACTGTGAGAGAGCTGGAGGTGTGGTGTTGGAGGGGAGGGAGTTGTGCGTGTCCATCTCCAGGGTGTTGGCGGTGGTGACGGGAAAGTCTTTGGGGAAGCTGCAGCGCTCCTCTGTGTCGCGGTGTATGGGCTCCAAAAGGACCTCGTGGATTATGGTTCTGTTGGTGTCCGAGTCAGAAGTCTTGGTCTTATGGTGGTTCACGTGGTTGGTCTGTGGCACAGCCTGCTGCTGCTGCTGCTGCTGCTGCTGCTGCTGCTGTAACACGCTCAGCTTCTCTGACTTGTCAGATGGTCTGCAGAGAGCAGAGATTACAACAAAGGCCTGGATGAACACTGCTCTTTAGGACTGATACCTTTAATAACTTTCTCTCACATGTGGCTAAGTTTCATTCTCAGGAGAAATAAAGAAGAAAAAAATCTCAGTTACACCATGAGCTCAAACTTTTCAAAGACTTTAAGTTGCTTGGATTTAAAAAGTACAAACTCTGTTTCAGGTCCTCTGCCTTTGTTCTAAAGTGTTGAACAGAATTTTAACAAGATGACCAACTTAAAAGAAAAAAAAAAAACCCTAACCCTCCATTAAGACGACTGGGATAAATACACTTCAAGCTGAGGCGATGATGGGTAAAAACCTTAAAAAGGTAAGAGTGAAATCCCATTTGACAGAAAGATCGTAGGTGAGAGAGACAGAGGCGTCTCTGAAATTCAATGAAGCGAACGACAAATTTTACTTTTGAAAAACCAATGAAAGAGCCTCAGGTGACAACACGGTGTCTGAAGACGGCCAATGTTCATGAATATTAGCTGTATGGTAAATGGTCCGTCCCTAATAGCTTGAGTTATAATGGTGGTCAAAGACAGCAGCTTTGCATTTACAAAGTTAAACTTAAATCGTGAAGCTGTGGATGAGACGGTACAGATGAATATATTTGCCTAAAATTGTTGTGCACTTTACTAACAACACAGTCTTTTACACATGTAAAAACTTTAAATAAACAATACAGAGAAATATTTAACACAACTGGTGAAATAAAAAAAAATTAATGAATAAAAATAGTAAAAAATACTGCTATTCTTTTTTAAGGGCTAATACGATAAAATGGGCAATTTATCGGGTCATGGAGTACAAAAAATGTACAAGACCCATCAGTTGTCCTAATTATATTTTCCCAGTGTTAACCTCTAGGTTCAAATCCAAGTCAAGAAGGGGAATATTACATACATATTAAATATGTACAGTGTTATTCACTAGGAGCTGGTTTATGCTGCATAGCATTTGCAATATTATGTTGAGTACATTGAGAAGCAAAGTCTATGGTCCAACAGTGAATGTTTTACCCACTGGGCCTGAAATAACAAGTACCAACTGAGGGGAACTATACCTGATCAATGCATCAGTGTGATTCTGCATCAGTGCTGCATGGTTCATGGCCCGCAGCCAGGTGTTCATGTCTTCCTGGGTGTCAGCGCTGAAGTAGTACGTCCGCATCCCAGTGTGCTCCGCCTGTGAGCCAATCATAGAGCTCTGCTTGTAAATGTAAGTGCGCATACCAGTATGGCTAGCCTAAAAGGAAAGAGAGAGGAGGCCGAGTCAGCGCTGTGATTAACTGCGACAAGGAAGGAGGTGGAGAAAAATGAGCTGTGAAATGGTGCATTAATGAGCTGCAGCCTTGGCCAAAGGGACACAAAGGTATCATGCCATCCGACAAGAGGAACATGAGCACCAACCAATACACAAGGAGCCAGTGATGGACACCACACCATAGAAATACACACAAAAATGCCAGCCAAGTACAACACAAACACAAGGGTTGGCACGATGGAAACTAGAAATTATAAATGCCAGAGGAAAACAAGGCTCAACACGGAGTTAAGAAAGAGCCAAAACACTGTAGAAAGATCGATGTTGTTTCACAATGACTGCAACAAACACTAACTGTTTGTATTCAGTTGTCACTTGAGACTTCCATGAGCTACTTTCAGTAAATACAAGGAGAATAATAACAGTGACATTGTTAAAAACACATGTATGTAACAGTGACATTGTTAAAAACACGTGTATGCAGGTCTTACAGGCATTTACAAACCACTTTTCCATGTGATATTTTTTTGATTTTGCAACTGTTCAACTCCAAACCAGACCTGAAGTATCACATCTCTTATACACTATTTTTATATCTACATTCCACAAAATGCATATAACACATTGGCATGATGTGCTTGACATATAAACTTGAATTGACAGAACATCTTTCTTCATTTGATAAAATATGGTTGAGCCCCGGATGCTATTAATGTTGAAAATCACTGCGTACAGCCTCCTCCTCATCATGACAGGGTTGATTGTACAGTTTTAGTGTCAAAACTGTGACGGGCGTGTTGAACTGAGTCACCGCCGTCAGGATGTGACTGTCGACAGCAGCACATTTACCTTATCAACATCCGTCTGTTTTTGGCCAAGAAGGACAGCAATCGGACAAGAAAGAACTACGGCTCTGCATGTTGAAGGAAGACGTTCAGTTAGACTTGAAGTGAACGGTTGTAATATGCTGAAATCAATCTGAATATTCTCCAGAAGCTGATGGTTACTTGTGCTGAAAGTGCCTGGTACTTTTGATTCTGTGAATAGTTTGTCAGGAACCAGAAATATCTGCACCTGTGTGTGTAAAAATATAAAACGAACGCTGAGTTGTTTTGTTGTTGTTGTTTTTTGTTAATTACAGCAGATGAATGTAAACAAATGATAATAATAATAATACACAAATGGATATTCTAGCAGGTGAATGTACACACTGTAGAAATACTGAGTTGCTAAAAGCTGAATAGATGCTTTCCATTCTTGATGAATATGCCCTTGTTGTGAAAGTCGGGTTTAAACGTCCTACTTTCCATTTTTCCTCCATGCTCTGTCCTGGGATCAGATTAAATACAGTATAAAAGAGCAGATTTACCAACAGATCTGTGCAAATAATTAGTCGAGGCAGTTTGTTTATCATCCTCTGGGGTAATAACATAATGATAATTTATTTCTTTGCAGGTTTTATTTTGCTGATATGTGACCTCAGACAATGAGCATTTTCTCTGCAGCAAGGTGATGAGCAGGAACATAAACACCCACTTATGTTGTTTGAATTACACACTGTCATCCTGCTGCTGTTCTACCACTGTTGCTGTAAACCAGACAAGCTTATAAACAAACACTGCTCCTCCTGCGTTTCCCAGGAGCTTGACACTCACATATCGTGTTAAAGGGCTGCAAAACACAGTAATCTGAGAGTGTTATTTTAAACCCAAAAACTCAACCCATTTGTGCTACAAAGTTGTAGATTTTTTAACTACTCTGATCTGACAGAAAATCCTGCCTCCCTGAAAGACTGTCAAAATATACACCAGCCCAGAAAAGTCTATCAGATAAACAGTATTAAACCCATATTTACGGTAGCTGAGACAAAAAACAATTCAAAAAGCGATCAATATGTAACTGCTTAAAATGGAAAAATAGCTAAAGAGATATCAAAAGTAGCTAAGATTTAAATGTAGCCAAAGATAGATTCAGCAAAACACTAAAAAATCTTTGAAAAATATTTTTTCGATGAGTATAAATTATTATATTTAAATATTTTATTCAGACTGTTGATGATCCACGAATAATAAATGAGGACGAGGAATACTCAGGGAAAAGACAAGTCTGCAAAAATGCTTGACATCAGTGCTGCTCAAAGAAAAAGCCCAGCTGTAAAGCATGGAGCAGTCTCTCCGACCTCGTCAGATAAACAAGAGGGAAACTACAGACAAGGAAGAAATTCAGCCTTTTTGGAAAGTTCATGGCAGGAGTATTTAAAAAAAATAAAATAAAAAATCATAAATGCAGGAACCTCAACACGGAGAGGAGCAGGTGTCACGTCACAGCTGTCTGCTCACTTTGACAGATGGCCTTTTACTGCTGGTGAGGGACAGGCTGCCTCACGAGAGGTGGAGAACTGTAACAGCAGTCAGATGTTCAGGCACGTGCAGAGACATGGAGGAATGGGTGTGTGTGTGTGTGTGACTTCCGTGTACACACACACATTCACATGTAGGACCAGGATCATTGGAGTTCAGGCTAAAGAACAAAGATGAAGTCCTAACACCTAACCAGGAACACTGTAAAGCCCTAACTATGATTTAATAAACTGGGAACACTGTTCACAGTAGAGCAGTCAAACGACTTCAGACGTTTCATTTGATTTATTGTGAAGTGAAAGTGAAAGTGACACAGCACTTTAACCAAAGTGAACAGTGTGTGTGTGTGTGTGTGGACGGTGCCAGGCTCAGAGCACCTCAGTGGTAACTTGGCAGCTGGTGGACTCCAACCTGAAGCCTTATTATTAGACAGTCTACTTATCTAACTGTTTATATGATACTTATATATACTGTTATGTGCTTTTCTTCTATTTTCCACCAAATAGGATCACTGTTCACCACAACTCTAAAAAGCGAGAAATCAACATACTTTTTGTAATTAAATATTAATATGTCAACACTTCACGTGAAATACTGCAAGTCTAAATACGTGGATCAATTTAACTGAAATACACTATTATAACTCAGTCCCTATAATCAATGTGAAGGAGATGAGAACTTGACTTCAACAGTAGACACACCCACTCAGGATCAACCACCGCCATCATTTCCAGCTTCAGTTCATACACTGGCATCTTCACAATGTTGACAAAATGCCACACACACC